AATTTTAATGGTATTTATCTGCAGTTTTCTCCAGCCAACCATCTACTACACCATTTGGGCGGGAGGTTTATCGAAATTCGCAAGCTTGTTTTGTCGTGTGCACGCCCGAAATGGCCATTAAAGCCACATTTAGGCCTTTTGGCCAATTTTCGCCGAATGGGTGGTTCGGTCCGTACGGTTGGGGTACCGTGTCAATCACTGCCTCACGAGACAAACAATAGGCCAGACCCACTACCTCGGGACACCTTATGTCACAATCTTATAGTCTGGTTCTTTATTTATCCCTTCCTGGGCTCGGCTTGTCCTTCGGTCCTGCCCTTCCACAGGTCGGCTGTCCACGAAACCAATAGCTCTGTCCTCCCCCCATTTAACTGGCTGTCATGCTAACCCCCTTTCGCCTCATTTTCCCCCATGTGGTCACGATGACTGACGTGTGGTTCACAGTCTGCAATGGACAAAGTGGAGCTCTTGGCTTAAGGCAATATAAATAGGCGAAATGGTGAAGTGAACGGATCTGGATTGTGGAATACATGTCCGAGAAGAGGAGCTCTGCATTTCCGGGCCTGCATCTCAGCTAGACAAGGAGTACCAATATCCACACAGCTTTTGTTCGCCTTATCGTCGTGATCACTGGCAGATTCCGTCGAAAATGCACTTTCTCAATGGTCCAAATTCACGTGAGTTTAGGCCACAGTTTGGCTTGGAGAATCACAAGCACCGCTTGTTTCAGGCATAGAAATCACGCCTCATTGAAGTAGATAGGCATACGTCGACACGGTACAGTTACAGGAAGGCAGAAAGATCTGCAGTCTCATCTCTAAAGGTTCTAACTCCACTGTTAGAAGGCTGCTCATAACGCATTCGTTTGATTCGTAAATCTATATGATTGACGGCCAGACAATTGAGTTTCTCCATTAACTTGGTATCGGTTCCTTCCCCTCTCTCCCCAGAAATACATGCATGCGCATACACACGCATACACACACAATCCCATTAGAAAGACCCTTTCTGATCGGAATTGAGACACCGATAATGGAATGGAGAGAGGATACATTTGTGTCCACTGATACCGATCAGCACGCAGAAGTCTGAGGGATACTTGAGACGTAGATCCACATGAATCGCCATTTGTGCACTTGTTCTTGTGCATGTGTACTCCTCACTGTTAGTTCGCCTCCAAGCCCCGCCTAAAGGGTTACTTCGGTCAACTAATGGCCACCGATGCAAGCGATAACCAAATACTCGGATAAACACGCATACATATACACACCGACAAATGGACCAATGAACAGACGGACAGATAGACAGAAAAATGTACCCTACTAGTTAGAAGTGTGCTCATCTGAAGTCTCTTGCGTCATTCTCTACCGACTGTACAGCTCAATTTCTTATTTGCCCACTCGCTTCAACTGCTCGTCTCGCAATTCACACCATGCGGCCTGGTCTACCCCGGCCAAGCCCCACAAAGTCAACCGCTTTGGTTCCGCTCGCGCTGACCTCCTACCAGGCGCCTTTTCAGATGGATTCACGGAAGGGAGAGCAGCATATTGGCAAATAGTCGGACAAATAAGGGTAGAATAAAGCAGCAGAAAATAGAGGAAGAGTGGGAGTCCTAGAAACAACTAGGTCTGAAGGTTAGGTGTGAAGCCATAGTGATGGCAAATGAGACTGTGTACGTGTAAAGAATGGGGTCACGCGATTTCACTGCAGTGATAATCTTGTCAAAGTTACTAAAACAGCAAATAAATCCCAGCAACCAGACTTCTAGGGCTAATTTTAAGCTCACATAGGCTGTAGTGATGCTTTCATCTCACCTCCACACCCATGCACACACATGGGCACATACATATGCTCCAACATGTGCACAACTAGGCCACATGTACAGCGGTAGAATAGCCTGAATCGCTTGGTTTCTGACTCATTTCAAGGCGATTTGGGCGGCCAAATCTCTGCCAGAGCCCCGTAGCCGAGTGGACCACCCCTCCAGGGGGTGCTGGCTGGCCGCATTAGGCCGTCCCTTCGATCAGCCCCGATTTGACTCTGTACCTCGTCGTTGGCCCCGACCGGAGCACTTTGTATATTACCCCCTGAGACGGTTTTCCATGAGAATTGGGGGCCCGGTCCGGTTGCATGGGCGAACCGGCCATGAGGGCCGTCGTTGTAGCCTGACACAGGCCTCTCCCATAAGGAGAGGCCGACCCTCGGGGGCGGAGCCAACTTTTCGTCCGGCTGCCTGACCGCATGTAATAGCCCAGCTTGACATTTTACTTGTTTGGCTTCTTCGCTGCTCCCGGCCACTGAAACACCGTCCGTCTTGTCAGACGGTGAAAGACAGAATGTATCCGAGGCGGGAGAGGTGGCGGGCCGTGGCCTTCTGGCTCGTCCCAAACTGTGCTGATCTGCTAAAGGGGTAGCGCTGATCTGAAACGCGACAAGTAGGAAATGTCGTAAACAGGACTATCTCAATAAGGCACAACATGCATCAGGAAGGTTAAATAAAATAACAACTGTATGACTGTATAGAAGAAGAAGAGGCGAGATAGAAAGATAGATAGATAGATAGAGGGAGAGAGAGGGGACTAATGGAGGATGGGAGGGTGGAAAATCACATCTTCATTTCTTTCGAGAGATGAAGGAGACATGAAGAGTTATGAGGGCAACTGAAACAACAAGGCTGAGAAGTTGCCCCTAAGAGACTGTCTGTATATTTCAACTCTGGAATGCATTCACATGCACTTGTTTCTGTTAGTCCGGCGTCTTCCAGGGGGGGGCAGAGGGCTGGTCATGCTGGTTCTGATTGACTCCATTCGGCAGACCCTATCCATTTATTAGCGAGTCTAGGGAAATCTTTTTTTATATACTAAAAACCTCGGACAGAGCCTTCACCAATGCTCAGGAGCCTCTGTGTGCGAAATGCCCAGATGTCTAGATAATACAAAAGTCCCGCCAACACATCCACGGTGCGAATCCCGCCAGGGAGCCGGGAACAAGGGGAAGGGTGGAGTGTTGGTACCTGATGAAGTAAATTACAACGCATTTTGGCTAGAATCGCTAAATACAATCGAGAGGCAAGTGCTAAATGAATAAAGAAGTTGACCAGAAGCGGTATAATAGTGAGCCTCGTTTGTCGTCAACCCACAGAGGAAGACAGTCAGAGCCAAGCCCTACGAGGCGGCCAGGGTTACTCGAGCAGGAGTAGACCGTAACATCATGTACTTTAGTCAGGGGGGTCCACCCCGCGCCTGTTCCCTCAGGGCCTTCAGGTCACATCAGATTTTGCTTGAAAATAATGGGTTATATTTAGTTGAGTTTTGTTAGAATTATGATATTACTACTACTTGAGTTGGGGGAGATGACATTAAGTTTTTGTCAAAGTACACCTGTTTCGACGGGTTTCTTGAGGGAATAATGACTAATATGTAATTAATTGAAGAAGAGTAACCAACTAAATCATGGGATACTAAATTAGGAATAAGAAGTGAGTGAGATTTGAAGCTTGCAAACTTTTACCTTGATTTAGTAAAGTGATGCAATTTTTGTTTAAGTATGGCTTCTTGCTATGATGATGCGTGCCACGGT